GGCTTGGCTAGGCCACTCGATCGAGCCATCCAGCGCACACCCTTGCAAGCTGCTTCCACTCTACCTGCTCTACCTTACATTCGCAACATCCCTTTGTTTATTTGTATGTCATCTAAATGATTATGAAAAATTAAACTAGATAGATTAATTAATATGTGATACAACACTTTACTCACAGAGAAGTTAAAATTTAACTTTTACAAATTGCAGAAAAATAAATTAAACAATGACTAGTTAGTGTATATTCATATTTAAAATTTATTTTTTTCATTGCAACCTGTAGAAATTAAATTTAACCTTGCATATTTATAGAGTAATTTATTACATATTAATCTATTTTGTTAAAAAAAATTCATAACCATTTAGATATCATGTAAATAATGAGAAGATGTCTCGAAGAGTTCAGAATAATTTTGCCAGTACGTTACTATATCAACCGACCTTTATTCATGTGGGGATATGATACCCGGATGTCCCATAGGAGGCCTTTGGGCTATATTGCATAGGGTGGGCCGAGTGCCCTAGACCCATGCGGCACTTCAGTTGTATAGAAATGGATAAGAGCTAAGAAAGTCTATTCAATCCCATGTAATTAGATGGTAGGTATTTGGATTATAAGGGATACCGCAACATGTATACCACCGGATGGCCTAGTACTATATAAGGGGCGTCTGCAGGAACCCTAAGGGTTACACGCTTTTCCACACTTACGCGCCATCAGCCATTCTATTACTGATCTGTGAACCCCGATGCAGATCCAATCTACTCTAACTAGACTAGAGTATTACCTCTTCTTGAGGGACTGAACCAGCATAAATATGTATCACAATCTCTCCTTAATCTAGCGCATCCCATAAATTATATTGCCAATCCTACAAATTGACAATCCACATCAGAGCTGTTGTGTCCACCACCTACGCAGCCATGACGCACGCCAATGTCTCAAAATGCAGCCATGTGTAGACCTAATGCTGACTTATGTTGGCTGCATTTTGATGTTGGTAATGCATAAAAGATGAGGAAGCTGGGCCTGATGCAGTTTTTGATATATCCTATTTTGAAGCCGATTTTGCTATATCTCACTCGAAAGATTTTTTCTTATCTCTCACTCGATTTTCTCACTCAAATTTACAGTGCATTTTCTTGTAAGTTACAGTGTAATTTATGAAACTTACACTATAACTTTTGTAAGTTACACTGTAATTTTTGAATCTTCACATGTAAATTTTAAATTTTTTATTGGATTTGGTCTTTTTCTTGAGGATATGGTAATTTAATGTTCATTATGGTGTTTCTTAATTGCTTTTTGCTTTTTATTATATCTATCGGATTTTAATATAAAGATTAAAAATCTGTGTGATACGATTATAAAAATCTTTCGAAAGATGTATAGGTACTCCCTTTTGAAGCTCCAGTTGGATGTTTTGACATAAAACTTGTATGCAGTCAATCAGTCATTGGGATGAACTGATATCGTCTATATTAATTCTCTATCGTACCACAAACAGATTGGCATATGGGGTTTTCTAATTTTCACCGGTAAACTTGATCATCAAAATTATAGACTTGTTGATGACTAAAATTGATCTAAGAAATTATAAGACACTCGCTTCGTTTCCTATTATAAGACTTTCTAGCGCTGCCCACATTCATATAGTTGTTAATAAATTTAACACACACACACACACACACATATATATATATATATATATATATATATATATATATATATATATATGTATAGATTCATTAACATATATGAATGTGGGCAATGCTAGAAAGTCTTATAATATGAAACGGAGGAAGTAGGATTGAAGATATATATGTATTGGAGAACATATATAACCAAATCATGCAATAAGCGAAGACATAAATTATCGTGATTTTTTTTTTACTTCAAGTTATGCATAGATCGAGTAGGGACTAGTTTTACTTCCTTTGTTTTAAGTTTTACATCAAATTTTTCTAACTTTAACCATCAATTTCTTAATATTTATATAGTTTTAAAACATGCGAATTATATGTATTATGAAAGCATTTCTCATAGTAAATCTATGAACATAAATCTTCAAATGCTAAACTATATAAGTTTAACTCATGCCATCTTAGGTGGGACTTGGCCTTAGGCCCCAACCTATGAAAGGCTATGCTCTCAAAGCACTCTCTCTATTATGTACTTTATATCTGCACATATGTCTAACAGTTTGATACATATTATTAAAAAAGTTCTCATATTGCGCTCCTTCCATACATTCCAAATTAAAAGTATACATGAGCAAGCCGTCCAAGAAATCATTTTTTTTCCTCTCCCTTGGAAATTTGTCGCAAGTGTTGGGTCACCATTCCACAGACTGCTGGGTTCAATGGGCAGATTAATACCCATGGAGTTGTTTGTGTATGTTTTGCTGTTGGTTTGCACTGGTCTTGCTCTATGCTGCTTGTGCACTCCAGAGCTGCATGACGGTGCATGTGTACCAAATTACCAATGAGTTTTATGAAATGTATATATCCACGTGGCTGTTGGAGTGCTGGTCTTCCTTTCTCTCAGGCATCGAGCATTTTTATTAGGTGAGGTGATGAAGAACATAATAGTGAGACTAAGCCCATGTTTTTGCTCATGGGTTAGTTGTCTTTGTGAGTTAAATTAAAATAAGCGCACGTCGATCGTACGTACGTGCAACGTTCCATGCATTCTGCCTGAGCACACCATACGGTTTTAATTATTTCTTCAGTCACACTAGATCTCTGGTTTCTCCATAACTGACCTAATCTCTGAACTATGATTAAGTAAATTAAAAAGGCTAAAAAGATCCTTGATCTTCAAATATACTACAAGGGAACCAATGAACACTTGGTGTGGAGTATAAGTAAGTTAATTACTAGTCTGCGGTACATATGTTCCTAATTACATCTAACTAATCATAGGATTAAATAAGCATTAAGGTTAGTCCTCTGAGATTTAGGCCATTGGTACCGTGGAGTTTGTGCTAGCTGTCTAGTCCCTATGGATGTGCATTCAACAGTCGCATCAAAACATTTCGATTACTACTAAGTTATCCTTGCTTTACCTAGTTCACCATGATAAAACTTTATGTTGCCAAATGATATGCGCGGCTGAACACGAGTCTACTATATTGTTAAATTCTCAAAAACATGTGTATATTAATGTGAAATTACTATAATTTAGGGAGGGAAGTACAAAACTGTAAATATTATATACTACCTCTATCTGAAAATAACTATATGGGCAATATCATTTATATTATTACTCGGTAAGTTGCTCCCCACGTGTTGAAATCCTGGATCCGCCACTGTGTCTCTCAGCTCTAGGGACTCAGTATTTACAACAATCCTGATGATCTCAGCCAACGATAACAGTGATAGTATGTCCCCAGCCTGTTTTTCTTGATATCAATTAGAAAGAATTATATCTATCGTGTTTATTTCAGCTGTAACATCTTTTTTTACCAAGACACCCCCTTAGCTATGTCCATTTTTTCATATTGTTAGAGAGTAGAGATTCACAAAGTATACGTTGTAAAAGAAATTAAATATGGAGCTAAGTAAAAAGATGTAGAAACATAAAACCGTAATTGTCCAATTTTTTTATGTTGAAGTTGCTCAGGGCTCAATGCTCCACATTGCTGGTAAGTCTTATATATATATGCAAGTTGACATGCACAATGAATTATGAAGTATGATTTCTCTCTTTTTTTTTTATGTAAGCATCATCATATCATAATGGTTAAAAAAATTGTCTGATTGTAAGGAAGTAACCATAAAAAATTCTTATGGGAAAAAATGCACGAAAATAGTACATGCCATCAACAGGGAGGGACAATGTATGAATACAACACAATGAGATACATCCTTTTGAGTACAACACATCATTTGTTTTCTAGCATTTCTGACTTTTTGATGATATGTAAAGATGTACAAAATGATCGAATTGCTAAAATGTGTTTTTTTTGTCACCGTATTTTCGTGTTTACACCTATATAAATGCAAAATTAAAGTTCCACACATCTCCAATGGAATGCATGCCACTAGAACGGGATTGCATATCTGTGATAGGCTGAAAGCCTCATCACTATCGGGTAAGGCCTCCGTCACTAGGCAAAGGTCACTGATGTGAGAAAAAAATCTCAATCGAGCAAAAGCCCGTCACGGATGGATGTTATCTCAATCGGGCCGAAAACAAAGCCCGTCACAGATGAGTATGACCAGTCAAACCAGCGTAGTTAGGAGCCCGTCATGGATGACTAATCTCAATCGGGCACACCACTAAGCCCGTCACGGATGAGTAGTCATCTCAATCGGGCATTTAGATAGAGCCCATCACCGATTGGTTTAACCCCACGTGTTGAGTCAAACGAGTCCCGGTTCGGATGACTTATCTCTATCGGGTTTACTCTAAAAGCCCGTCACGGATGTGTTGACAGAAAACACGAGGCCTGGGAGATCTGCTTAACTCCAGTGCAGGTCCAAAACTCGCCAAATTTGGTCGTTAACAAAATGACATATCTCTTTCGGGCATTACTAAAATGCCCGTCAGGGATGAGTTTGGAACAAAAAAATAAAATTTTATAATTTGGCTAGCCTCAGGCCTTTGCTAGCCATGCTCGCTGCAAAAATTGACAGAAGCACATATATATATAGTCCCATTCCCAGCAACCCCATTGCTAGCATCACAGCATTCATAGCCAATTCATAGCATTTATATTCTCAGCATCACAACATTTACATTCCATCACAACACATGCATTCACAGCCAAATCACAACTCATTCACATTTATGTTCCATCACAACACATGCATTCACATCACATATACTCCCTCCGTTTCACAATGTAAGGCTTTCTAGCATTGATCACATACATATAGATGTTAATGAATCTAGACACATACATATGTCTAGATTCATTAACATTTAAATGAATGTGGCAATGCTAGAAAGTCTTACATTGTGAAACGGAGGAAGTATATGTCATTCACAACCATTTTTTCTCCAAACCGCCGACATGCATCAAAACTTGTAAAACTAAGTTATAAATTGGAACAATTTTATATGTAATTAGAAATACAAGTATATATAGAGACGAGCTACCTAGGACTTTACTCTAAAGAATTTAATTGTATTACAAAGAATATTTACAAAAATCAAATGTTTGTCGCATATGCATTGCAAATGTTCTGCCATTCCGAGACGAGCTACCTAGGACTTCACTTTAAACATCCCTTTCGGTGACAAGAGATCATCTAGTATGAATTGTGTTATCTCCTCTCTAATGATATCGAAGTTGATTTCCGGAATCGTTGAAATTTTTTCCTGCATGTTCGGCGCCAAGTTAGTTTACATACTTGTAAATTGTCGTCCTATGTGTGTATAAACAATTGAAGGACACACCTCAGGGTCGAGCAATCTCACCTTGTCTGCGAAGCTCCTCATGTTATGGCAGACATGGAACCTGCACTGGTTGCCAACTTGTTAACGTATTAGGAAGTCTTTCTTGTGACCGAGTTTGGGATGCCCATCCTTATGCCTCCCGCCTCTTGCCACGTATTGGTCCCATGCCTCGTTCAAGGCAGATTCGATGGCCGACCAATCGTATATTTTTGGATTGATATTGGAGTTAAGGTAGTGTACCAAACTCCACTTCGGCGTTATTACCAGAAGAATCCAATGACGCCTACGAAATTAATAAATTGCTAGTTACATACTACAGCTGTACGCGTCGCGCATTTGAGTATAAGTAGGGGGTACATGCTTACTGTTGATTGTAGGCACACATAATGAAGTCCTTGTCTTTGACGGGCAAATAAGCAGTCCTTGATATAGTCCACAATGTTGGCTCGATCGTTTTTCAGCGTTGTCTCATTGACGACAGCTGGATCGAGTAAGGCAACATGGGGTGCTTTATGATGGACATGCTTCCAGGTTAACCTACGAGAAAGACAAGAGTCAGGGTAAGCGTAATTTATGGACAGTTACTACCATATCGGTAGCCAGAAATACTTACAAGGAGTAGCACTCAAGGAGGTTGGTATCGATCGCTCGCACCCTGTAGAGGTCCCATAGATCTTTGAAGTTTACGGTGATGAAGGCAGTAGGCCCGAGGAACGGCTGACTATCATGCTAGCCCAACATGGAGGTCTCTCTATTCTTCCTCCTTGCGTTGGACTTCCCCATGTAGTACCCGTGCAACTCCTTGCATGCAGGGTCCATCTTGAATAAGGCATCGTCACCGACCAATGGCATGCCCAATGTGAATTCGGTCGGAGGCTTTTGAGCAGCTAATGGCGCCTTGCCAAGATCAAGCTTTTTTGGGGCTAATGGCACCTTTCCTTTTCCTCTCCCCGTTCCAACAGCTTTTCTGCGTGTGTCAAGCTTGGGTGGAGAAGATTTCGCCCTCTTGCTCCTTTTGGTAGTAGGGGGGAGGTGCGGCCTGCTGTCGACCTCCATACCATCAACCCCAAATTTTGTATCATACTGTAATTGGAGATCTTCATCTCTTTCTTCAACGGCAGAAGGGAGAGATACAACAGTTGGATGGGGATGCGACGGCGGCGGACGAGAAGTTGGCGCTGGCCTTGGAGTTATATTGATCTCAATACTGTGCTTGGGCCATTGAATAAAGGTCCCACGTGCAGCCCCAAGGGTCAGAATTTCGTCATTAGGAGGGTGCGGGATAGTGTAGCCAACCCAATCGGGCTTCACTAAGTCCACCTGAACTTTGGCATTGCCGGCTAGCAGTTGCGCCCCATGCACTCGGGTCTCCGAGGTAGGCTTGAACGCTTGACCCTTTGCGGCAGGAATTGCAAATCCTGGTGTCACCCTAATGACTAGGGTACACGATGTGGGTTCCTGCGATAGATTCATTAGTGTCCTTAGAATATGTTGCAATGTATTGTGGTGCTCATACAATATTTGCGTTATTAAGTTGTTTTTACCGTTATATGGTCCACCGCGGCGGGGCCTTCAGGCTGTTCTGCCGGAGCCTCAGTTGATGTGCAGCTGCTACGCCTCTGCGTGGGATTGTGCTCCACCCGAAGTTGGTCCTTAAGGCGTGCAATTTTCTGTGCGTTTGAAAGCTTGTGCTTCTTGTACTGCCACACGTATTGGGGAAACCTAAACTTCCATGGAACATTAGAGCCAATGCCCCTTGTTCGTCCATGGTGTTCTTCGTTTCCCAACGCTTTCGTGAGGATGTCATCCTCGCATCTTTGTGAGCAGACCTCTTGGGAGGCCTGTCTCTCAGCATTCAGTTCGACCTGGGGTACAGTTAGGACGTGTTAGACGAAGAATACGATACAACATAATGAAACTTATTCTATGTGTTCAACTTACGATTTTCTGGTACACCGCTTGATCTTCGGGATTTGGGAACAAAAGAGTTCCATCACTATTCTTCTTCACCCTTGCCCTTGCACAGTTCCTTGCCCGCTGGATCGGGATATCAGCAAGCACTTGCGGGGTGTTAGATTTTGCTGCAGCTTCATCCTCCTTGTCCCATTCTTCCTGTTTCCCCGCGTAGCCTCCAGTGCCAAGCCGGTGCGGGTGAAGGTTCCTTGCCTGCAGATCCTGGTAAGCCTTGCTTTTTGCCCGAGACACTTTCGTTGATTTGGCGGCATGGAACTCATCCCACATGGTTCGAGTGATGAATGGGTATTTCCCAAATGGTTTTGGCTAGGCGGGGTTGAGGACGTACTCCGTGACCAGCGTTGTCTTGAAATTTTTCCAACAATTCCCCATCTTGCGGATAGCCTGCCGCTTGAGTCCTGCCTGTAGGGTATTGAAAGCTTTCCTTGAACTGCCTCCAGGCCTCTTCTTTTTCTTCTTGAGGGACCAGATCGATGTGGTCCTTCAGAATAGTGAAGTTCCGCCTCCCTAGGACTCCACATATCGTAGGGAACTTTTTGACAGCTTTCATCGAAGCCGTCGGATATCCAATATCGTCCACCTCTGTTATGGTGTAGACTTACTTAGGAATCTTATTCTGGGTCCTAGGATTCTGGCTCGAAGTAGTCCCAGTAGTGGTCGTCGACATTGGTTCGCCTTGCTACGACATGTCCTATGTGATTGTTGTACAGGAAGAAAGTACTTTTTAAACAGAAAATTGCATCTACACACATTCTCTGATGGTTTGATATACCTCTATCTCCTACCTGCGTTCGCCTCGTTGACGGAACACGAGCATCCATGCTCAACATGGCCGGAGTAGCCGGGAACTCGACCTCGACATCAGTATCCCACTCGAACTTCCTATCAATGTCACTACCATAAGATAGTGGCAACGGTAGCAAGTTCCAGTGGGATATGGATGTGGAGGTCGAGATCCCGTCTGCTCCGGCCTCGAGGAACATGGATGCTACATATCTGCTGATGAGGCGGACGCAGATAGAACACACAGGCAACCAAAACCCTTCCTATCCTTAGATTGCATCCAAGATCCCTAACATTATCGTCAGCAAACTCCTAGATTACGTCCAAGATCATTTCGTAAGGGAACCCTTATTCCCATAGATACAGCAACCAGCTTTGGATACTGAATTTATGGGAATGGGGTTCCCTAAAGAAATGACCTTGAAAGCAATCTAGGATATTGGTAACGATAATAGATTTCTAGACATGTCTTATTTGAACGAATTTGTCTTGGTCGGTACCGTGTAGGCAGTAACCCGACCAAACCATATTTGGCAATCGGAATACTTCGTATTCTCCTAAATGCCATAATTTCACTAACTTCATTTAATAACAGCCCTATGCATATCCATCCCATTTCCCTCAAAATCACCCAAAATAGCCCATAGTACACAAGTCACATATATATTATTTTTGTACCTAAAAAAACACAAGTCATGACATATAATAAGTTTGGCCTCAGTTTTGCTCAGAAATTATGCATCAATTACCATCATTTGCAACTGCCCCCACCCCCAAAAGAAATAAAGAACAAGTGTAGAGGGCCCGTTCTTACCATCCCATTGGACCCAAAATATCCCACATTCTTTGCAAACAACCATATAAGAACAAGTGTAGAGGGTCTGTCCTTATGCAAAAAAGAAACAACCATATAAAAAACAGCCATAAAAAACACAAGTACACAACCATATAAGAACAAGTGTAGAGGGTCTGTCCTTATGCAAAAAAGAAACAGCCATAAAAAACACAAGGCACATACCAAAACTCACATTTCCCCCAAAATAATTCAACCATCACAGCCCACATCAATTCATCCATCCCATTGGACCCAAAAAATCCCAAAAATTTTGTAAACAACCATATAAGAACAAGTGTAGAGGGTCTGTCCTTATGAAAAAAAAACAGCCATAAAAAAACAAGTCACAGCCCACATCAATTCATCCCAAAAATGGTATGTTCTTGAGCAATCATCACTGCCATTCATCCATCATAGCCCACAATAATTCATCCATCACAGCCCATATCTAAACATTAATCCCAACATACCATTCTCCCCCAAAAATCATATAATTCATCCATCACAGCCATATAAAAATTCATCAGTAGCTAACACATATAAAAATGCACAAGTCATCACAACCATATAAAAATTCATCACTAGCTAACACATATTGAAATGCACAAGTCATCATAGCCATATAAATTCATCATCACTAGCTAACACATATAAAAATGCACAAGTCATCATATATAGACATTACCATCTAAACATTGAATCAACAAATAATCGCACTATCACATTATCGAATCCAAACATTATCATCGAATCATCAAATCATCACATATAACATCTACACAATAAATCATCATATTATGCATCATCATCGGTGAGGAATACCTACCTCGGACGGTGGTGGGCTCGGTGAGGAGGTCGACGGGGGCTCGGGGACGCCGGTCTTGGGCGGCGCCGGGCTCGGGGAGGCTGGATCTTGGAGGGAGGAGGTGGCGGCGGCGTCGAGGATGAGGCGGCGGCGTCGAGGAAGGGGAGGTAGGCAGCACCCAGATCTTGAACCGGGAGGTGTTGAGGGAGGCGGTGGTGGTCGGGAGGTGACGGCGTGTAGGAGGTCAACGGCAGCCGGCGTTGGAGGGGGAGGCAGGGAGCAGCCGGATCTTGAACCGGGAGGTGTGGAGGCGACGGCTTGAAGGAGGGCGACGGTGGCTAGGACGAGGTGGATGGCCGCCGGGCTCGGGGAGGCTGGATCTTGGAGGGAGTCGTCGGGGGCGGCGTCAAGGAGAAGGCGGCGGCGGTGGATGTGAGAGAGTGAGAGGCGGCGTCAGCGGTGGATCTGAGAGAGTGAGAGGCGACGGCAGCGGAGAGAATGGATAAGGACCCGTGGATGAGGATTGACTGAGTAAACCCTAGTCAATCCTCATCTCTATCGGGCGGAGTAATAAGCCCGATGCGGATGACCCTCATCCGTGATGGGCTTTAGTACTAAGCCCGATAGAGATGTAATAATCTCTATCGGGCCTAGTACTAAAGCCCGTCACACATGACTTTTTATAATAGTTTTAAAATGATATTTCAGTTATAATAATCATTTATAATCACATATATTTAACAAATGTCTTATTTATAAAGTTTAAAATTCCTATTAATTTTTTAAAATCATATAATTGACAATTGGCTTTCTCACATATAGTTTAAAATTCCTTTTAAAATTTTAAAATCATATAATTGACAATTGGCTTTCTCACAAATAGTTTAAAATTCCTTTTAATTTTTTAAAATCATATAATTGACAATTGGCTTTCTCACATATAGTTTAAAATTCCTAACAATTTTTTAAAACCACATAATTAACAAATCCATTTCTTCAAAGAGTTTTAATTTGTAATTAACTGGAATGGCATGAAACATATGCAATTCATTCATTAAGACTCCAATACAAATTAAATACATCATTACTGATACTAATTTGGAAATTACATTACTACAAAGACTTCATTTACAGTGATATGCCTTCCGAATGGTCTGAACGAACGCAAGCCACTTGTTGTATTCTTCTTCATCGACGACGTTGTCCACACCCACAATTCTTCGCTTGCCATTCCTAATGATGTGCATCTTCTTGTTTGCGGGGTCTTTTATGTAGAAAATTTGTTCGACCTGCTTCGCTAGTACGAATGGTTCGTCTGCGTATCCAACCTTGGCCAGGTCCACTAATGTGAATCCTTCCTTGTCGACTTTGACACCAGTGCGGATATTCACCCAACTGCAATGAAATAAAGGGACTTTGAAGTTCAGATAGTTCAGCTCCCATATGTGCTCGATCCAGCCTGATCCTGATATGCATCTATACGGACTCCACTATTTTGCACTGTGCTTTTCTCATCTTGTGTGACGGTGTAAAATGTGTATCTATTGATATCGTACCCTTGCCATGTGTCAACATCCCAAGCTAGACCCCTTGCCAACCTTTGTAATATCTCACTTGGGCCATCGGTCGACCGTGCTACACGATCCTTAAACCATTCGTTGAAGCGAGCACCATGTTCTCTGTTGATCCAAATATCTGATCGACCAATATTGTCCCGTCGGACCTTCGCTAAATGCTCCTCAAAGTATGGGGTTACTTCAGCCATATGTTGCAGCACTGCGAAATGAGCCTGCGCGTAGGAAGCTTGATTGGGAACAATTCTTTTTCTGGCAGTTGTGCTGACACCTGCCAACCTTCCTTCGTGGCGAGACACAGGAACTCTGATAGGATCAGTCTCGGCCATGTAATCGATACAGAACTCAATGGCTTCCTCGGTCGTGTAACCTTCGATGATGCTCCTCTCTGGTTTTGCTCTGTTCCAAACGTAGGACTTCAAAATTCCCATATACCTCTCGAACGGCCACATTTCTCTCATAAAAGCTGGCCCACATATTTTTGTTTGCTTCACTAGGTGAACAGTGAGATGAACCATGATATCGAAGAAAGCCAGTGGAAAATTACATCTCCATGTGACACAGGGTACTGACAATATCGGCCTGCAACCCATCTATGTCTTCTGGATCTATAATCTTCTGACCGATTGCATTGAAGAAGGCACAAAGCCGTTGGATCATGTGACGGACTTGTGGTGGTAGAATGCCTCTAATAGCAACTGGCAAGATCTGTGTGATTAGCACGTGGCAATCGTGAGACTTCATTCCAACCAGCTTTAGATCCTCCAATTTAACGTACTTACTTATTCTTGCGCAATAGCCCGAAGGAATTTTAATATCTGCCAGACATGATAGCATTGCGATCTTTTCATCCTTCGACAATGTCTGGCAAGCTAGTGGGAGGTACACTCTTCCTGTCTTCTCATCCGTAATAGGCTGAAGTTCACTGCGAATGTTCATCTCCTACAGATCAAGACGCGCATTCAACCCGTCCTTTGTCTTGCCAGGCATATTCAGCAATAGCCCCAGCAAGCTATCGCACACATTCTTCTCTACGTGCATCAGATCAATGCAATGACAGACCTCAAGATCTTTCCAGTAAGGTAGTCGCCAAAATATGGATTTTTTCTTCCACATCCTCTTCTTGTCCTCCTTGCTATGTTTTATTTTCTTCCCAAACTCATTAGTAATGTCCTTCACCATGTTGTGTACTTGATCTCCGGACAAATCCGCAGGGGCATACCCAAGTTCTTTCTTACCATTGAAAATTTTCTTCTTTCTTCTAAAGGTGTGCCGTAGGGGGAGCCATCTCCTATGACCCATGTAAACCATCTTTCTTGATTTCTTCAGCCACCTACTGCGTGTATGTTCCATACAGTCAGAGCATGCCTTCTTTCCTTTCACGATTTGTCCAGAAAGATTACCCAGCGCGGGATAATCATTAATGGTGCAGAACAATAGAATTCGTAGCGTGAAGTTCTCCTGACCATATGCATCCCAAGTTTCTACACCCTCTTTCCACAGAATCTCAAGGTCATCGATAACAGGCTCCAAGAACACATCGATATCATTGCCGGGTTGTCTCGGACCTTGGATTAACAAGCACAACATAATATATTTCATTTTGAAGCACAACCATGGCGGGAGGTTATAGTTCGCAATAAGAACTGGCCAAGTGCTGTGAGAACTACTCATGTCTCCGAAAGGATTCATGCCATCTGTACACAAACATATCCTCATGTTTCTGGGGTCGGCAGGAAAGTCTTTGTGCTTTTGATCGATATTCCTCCATTGAATCGAATCCGCAGGGTGTCTTAGCAAACCGTCATTCCTTCTCTCTGTGGCATGCCAATGTACTAACTTTGCTTCATTGGGGTTGGCAAATATTCTCTTGAAACAATCAATGATTGGTAGATACCACACAACCTTCGCCAGACCACCCCGCTTTGACTTCTTTCCCTCCCCCACGCTCTTCTTTCGCTTGTATCGAGAAGCCTTGCAAACAGGACAAGCATCTAAGTCCGCGTATTGCTTGTGGTACAATATGCAGTCGTTTGGACATGCGTGAATTCTCCGACACATGTACTTGTCGTTTCTTCTTATCCTATCCTCCTCTGCGGCTTTCATAAAACTTAATACGCCATCTCTATACTCCTTGTACTAACGCCTCAAGCCAGTCGTGTACATCCAACTTCGATCCATCTCTGAAAAATGAACAAAATATTAGTTAAAATCTCATAACATAAGTACTACTAAATTAATAGAAAATGATTAGTACCCTTTTACTTACTTTTATGATTTTCCTGTTTTTGTTTGGAAAAAAATTACAAAAATTCACCCTCTTCAACCTCCCACCAAAATAGTGAACAGTGGGATAACTACAGACAACGGACTACTGGAGTATATATAGTGTGCAAAATATATCTCAATTGGGCCAAACAAATGTTATCTCTAACGGGCGCATACTAATCTCTAACGGGCATAAATAGAAGCCCGACACCGATAAGAGTCATCGATGATGGGCATTAAGGCCATCACAATCGGGCCTTTTTTGAAGCCCGTCACCGATGACACTCGTCTATGACAGGCTCAGTATTTGGGCCCGATTGAGATAGTGGAGGTCATCTCAATCGGGCCTAACTCTGAGCCCGTCACAGATGAGTGTCATCGGTGACGGGCTATATGTACTTGGGCCTCGATTATGTCTGTACGAGTACATCTACAACGGTGTATTTTTAGGCCCGATTGAGATGACTTCGTTCTGACGGCCCAAGTAGTCCAGTCATGTGTTCGCCCGTCACAGAAGAGAGGATCTGTACTAGTGTGCAATTGTTCTTGTTGATCAGTTTCAAAATTTTGCACCTGAACTCTTTCATCAAGAACAAATATGAAGTCCACCGTTGTATTTTTTGATAATGTATAATCCAACCTTTATTTCAATAGAAGCTACAACCACTTAGTACAAAGTTCTTGGCTCAAACATAGACAAATGAATACCTAAATAACAAAAGATGATGAGAAGACAATTGTGAAACACATCAACTCAAAAGTAGAGACACAACTTGTTCCAGAAACATTATGAACTTGTTTAAAACCATCAACTTGTTCAAAAATTTATAAATCTCTATGCAAAGTTAATAAAAATTGCATAACCACTGTCTCTGAATTCCGACATGTAAAAATATATTTTTTTGTCCTAATCACAACTTTGTACTTGGGCCCAAAACTAAAGCTAGTATGTTTCCCTAAAAAGATTGGCATAGATGGAGTTTTATCAAAAACCATATTTTTTTTAATAATCCACATAACCCAGCATAAAACATATGCTCATACTAAATTGTAATGTATTTTTTGTAATTAATGCCAAACAACCAACTCCAACTTATATGTATATAGAAACACTATAGCTCGATCATATGTAGGGTTTTAAATCTCTGGCTATAGTAGCTGCTATCTCCGACTATGGCTG